TCAGAAATAGCAGCGGTTGGCTAAAATTGATTTGTGAAAGTTCTAGCTTAGTTGCTGCAAGCAATAAATTGTTTTACGAGGTGTAAAATTCGTTTGGAGTGTTTTTTTCTAGCTGACGGCCTTGTGCAAACAGCTAAGGGTACTGAGCACCCTAAGCTTGGCCAAAGAACGCGAAATTTAACTAAAAACCACGTGCCGTTCTAAATTCAGTTAAAGAATATCGAATTTAGCCCAAAGAGGCTTTAATTCAGCTGGTTAGCGGAAGAATCCGTCATGTGACGACATCCTGTGAAAGTGCATGGAATCCTGTCTGGGGACTATTATGCTTTAGAGTACATTTTTCCGACAAGAAGCTCAGAGTAATCTGAACTTGATCTCGTCTAGTACTGATACACCGGCTCCGTCCTATCTGTTCCCCCTTACCCATTCGATCCCTCGAGTGAATTTTACGCCAGTGTCTAGTACGGAGTCTAGTTTACAAGATTAGTCAGGTTGAGGTAGAAATTGAGGCAGCGACTGTAAACGACTGAATTCAAAACGAGTTGTAAATTCGAAGTTGCGATGCTGCTTTTTTGGATTTGTCTCTCTCATTTTTTGGCTCCCTTTGATTGTACGATTCGCCGAAGCTAACGTGAAAGTTAAGTCCTGTTTTTCGTTCATTTCTTCGAAAGTTCGACAATATTGACATGAGTAGGGAAGGCCGTTAATTTTTCCTTTTCAAGTCACCAAGCACTTTCCCCAAGTGCTACTGAGACTGCATAAACAACTATAGTGAGTGTGAATTGTACTCGTCTGACGATCGGATCAGATATTTCATGTTTCGAACTGCGAAAGCTAGGAAGCTGAAATTTCGCTACAGAATCCCCAACCATGCACAAGGCCTTGGCCTCTTTCATGGATGCAGGTGCTATTAACCTGATCGTTAACGATGCCAAAGGCCTGTAGTCAACATATATATCTTTCCTTGCCAGGGCCTACGACCTCAAGACTAACTTCTGACTGACTCTGCAACCCCAAGAAATTAAAATTTTTACTTCAACAAGCACTGCTTCTTATTGAACGAGTGCTGCATTTCATTCTCCTGTTTGTGGTTTCAGGAATTTTACAGACCCACTTAGATTCCGAAGTGTATTGAGCGCAAATCTCTTAGCGCTTCTAGATGGCGTTGTTATCGTACAAAAGTACACAATGGGGGTATGTCCGACACAAGCCTTCCTCTCTACAGAGCGATGGGATTCTATGCATAAAAAAAAATCTATGAACGACGATTTCGAAATATGATAAATGCAATGGAATGAATAGAAAATGCATGACTGGCAATAGCTGGAGGGAACAGAGCGAAGCATATTTGAGAAGCATCGTCGCAAGCTTTGTGCACTGAGAGCCACGTCAATAAAACTCGCTCTCTCGAATGGCTCCCGGGAGCACTGGACAGCTGAGCAAAAATTTCGACTTCATTTGTGGAGCACTGACTGGATGTTGCTGCCATACTGCTTCTTCTGGATATAAAGTTAGACTATGAAGAGGACGTTTGGGCAAGGTGGGCGGGTGTGGCGGCTTTTAATGACCAGGGCATACGGCCATGGTGGAGGCATTCTTTTATTCAGGGCAAATACAGTGAAGTTTTGTGTGAGCCGGGAAATGCCGATATGCGCTACAAGCCCAAGATACGTCGCTTTGTTTTTGTGAATAATAAATTTTTCGGTTTTCGAAACTACCTTGGATTTGGGGGTTAAAAACGAACATGTATGGCTTACTGGACCGGAGCACTCCTCTTCAGCTTTATTTTTCCCTTTTCCGTAAAATAGACTGTTCTTTTTTTTAATACATTTTTCAGTTAATTCTCATTCTAGTGCCTCCTCTCTTCCCCGTTTACTAGCCGCCTTTTTTTATAAAAACGTTTTCAACTCCCAATTTACCACCTCCTTTGCTAATAAGCCCATCTTCTTTTGCTTGACTGTGCTAAGACAGAATGAATTTGCTGACGAATCTCTGTGTAAAACCAGTCGAGCAGCAATGGCAGCTTTGCGAGGGGCAAAAAGAAATTTTGAATTGAGAATATGGAAGTAAATGCCTGGAAGTAGTCATGCTGAGGAAACAGTACTAAGAAATAATGCTTTACAGCTAACGCACGCATTGAAAGCGTCGATGTCAGAACTTCGTATTCCACAACCTTGACAGCAAATCAGCGACTCGAAATGCGCACAGTAATTTCGATTTTTAGTTAACTTCCACGGCGCTTCTGTCTCTTGTTTCTCGATTACAGCGTTGAGTCTCTTTGAATTCCTTGTTGTGCAGTTGGAATGAATGGATAAAACATCGCTTTGACAGGAATTGAAATTAAATTTTTTTTGAAAATTTTGACCCAGATTTGAGAAAAATTGCTATGTACTGAAAATAACTGTCCCTGAAAAAGCGGCGCAAGGAATGTGCTGTTATTTTTCCCTCACATTTCAATAATTACTTTTTGGAGTTATTGTTTGGTGGATGTGCAGACACAATATTCCAGTCAAAATTTGCTAAATATCAAGTTGTAACGGCGAGTCCAACATTTCTGAAGGACAAAGAGTGTCACGCGATCGGCTATTCATTAGGCTCTTAGACAACCAGTTACACTGTTTGCTGATTATCTACTCGTTGAACGGCGTTTATAATTCTGCTTAAGCCTAATAAATGTCTTAACATTCAATGAGATTGCTATCGCAGTCTTCTCTCGTCCATACAAAGCTATTCACAGAATTTCTCCATTAAAGAGGAATTTTAAAACCTGCCTAGTTGCGATCAAAAAAGCATTATATTTGCTTCACCCTTATAAATATAGCAAATATATGTTAATTTAGGATCCATCCTGGGTGGCGACCATCTTCTGTCTGTGGCTTCTGGTTATTGCAGCCCATCGATAATTTTGAAAGTCAGATGAAGCAATTTGAAAATCAATGGTTGCCAGAGAAAGCAGGAAGCAAAATCGCACAAAAAAAACCCAGCTGGAATTCTGCGCAATCGTGCGCACTGCTTGCATTGACCTCATTTACTGCAATTTAAAACCTCCATGAGGAGGACCATTTTCTACAGCGACAAAACACCATCATTAATGCATAGCGATGGTACTACAATTAAAAACTGTAGCAGTTTGGATGTGAAAGCTGAAACCTGTTTTTTTATGAAAAATTTTTGTAGACAGAATCTGTCAGCCGGTGCCAGTGGTCCGATCCGAACTCCCTCACAATCGATTTGAAATGCTGATGGCCCACCACTGACTATCTACAATAGGATGTAATGGAAAAATTTGAGAATGTTCCACGTGAC